AAATTAGTTAGCATAAATCAGTTAAATGACGAAAAATTGGGTGTCTATTTACTTGTGACCACTCAGTGTATATATAAGCCAATTTTTTCATTATTATCTGTGTTTTATCTAAAATATAAACTTTAATACTGTCTTTTAATTGCTACATTATTAGTTATTAAATTGAAAAACACATTTGACTTGTAAGAACACCTTTGATTTAGTTTAATCTTCTATTTCATTGAATTTTATTCTTTTTAGGGCCTGTATGATATTCATGTCCAGCTTTCTAGTGTTCCACTCTTGGCTTGGGAACCCCCACCCCTGTCAAACAACATCTATGCCAGGTTATTACTATTTTTATTGTTCATAATTGTTAATATAGTTATGGTTTCAAGTAGGACAACGTACAATAAAATCCAGAAAATTTTGGGAGGAGCACTCGACTCGCAATCTGAGGGTCTTGGGTTCGAATCCCTGTCACACCAAACATGCTCGTCCTTTCAGCCATGGGGGCATTATAATCTGATGGTCAATTCCCACTATTTGTTTGTAAAAGAGTAGCCCAAGAGTTGGCAGTGGGTGGTGATGACTAGCTGCCTTCCCTCTAGTCTTACACTGATAAATTAGGGACGGCTAGTGCAGTTAGCCCTCGTGTAGTTTTGCGTAAAATTAAAAAAACAAACCACAAAATTTTTTAAATTGGCACTCCAGATCAATCAGCAAATTATCATGCAATTATCCAAAACCATTTGTGAAATATAGTAAAATCCTTGTATATAAGTCACCTTTATGAAAGCACACAATGTGTCACTGTGTACAAATTGTTTGTATCATAATATGTGAGTATGATCATAATTGTAAGTGTAGTATTGTGTTTGTATGATAAGAGAAATAATCATAACAAAGCTGCATTTTTTAATGTAAAAGTTGCCAGTTGTTTAAAAGCTTCAGTTACCAACAATATATTTACATATATATTATAAACTACAGTGTTCCACAAGGTATAAGAATGTGAGATACAAAACTAAAGCATCACAAAGTGTTTAAGACATACAAAAAAGGTCCTTTAAAAATTATTAATTCCTTATCCAGCTAAGTTGCAGTTTTATTAGCAAATTTTCAGTTTTAGCTACATCAACCTATCAGAGACCACCGAACTAATATTTAGCCAGTAATAAAAATAGTAATCATGAATAAGTAAAAATAAGAGAAATATGTAAAACAGATAATAGTGACTGTATAAAGTAACAAAGCTGAGACCAAATGAAATAGATTTAAGACTGAGAAACACTTCTATAGCTCACAGGTTTACTTATGTTAGATTTCAAATGAATGAAGTAGTTATACATTGGTTGAGTACATTATATATCAGTGATCTTGGAGCCTCACCATGTCTTCACAGTCTATGTCACCACATCTAGTCAAACTCTGATGACAGTGCATCTGGACAACTGCCCTATAGTGCAGTTTCCATTGCAAAAACTCAATTTTAAAGTTATCATAACCAAAGGACACACTACTCCCTGCAGGGTTTTTGTAATCCATCTACTGTGTCAGAATGTCGATTTCCCAGTAGTTGTTACAACAGTGTGATTGTATAGAAATCCACATATGCTGCATCCAGCTATTTGATTGGTGCGTCTTCGAATAGAATAACCTGAATATCTATTTCATTCTCCAGCTGCTTCAAGTATGTGACTGTTGAAGGTGTATGTCATAGAAGCAAATTATATCACTTATTCAGATAGAGATCCTTCTTGATTGTGTTTCCTGGGTCATGTAGATGGCTTTTGCCACTGACTTTTGTATTTGTTGATTTTCATCTGTTGCAAGAATTAGCATTTTGATTACTACTGCTGATATACAACTTGTTGCAGGTCTCTTTGTGGATGGTCCTGGGGTCCTATGTTGATCCATATTCTTTTATTTTCCAATGTCATTAAATCTAAATCCCTACCCTGAAACATCTTTATGATTTGAATGTATGAGTATTTTGTGTCAAAAAGGGCTGTTAAATACCCTTTCTAAAAGTGATCAGTTTTCGATGGCATTACACTATCTATGAAACAGTACTGCCTAAACATAGTTTGATATATTTTGTTCCATCATGACTTTATATTGGCTGTGGCTGTCACATAACTGGTTGATTATAATATTTAAAATCGTTTATAACCTTTTAAACCCTGTATCTATTGATCATTCTGTAACAAGAGCACACACTTAACACTGAAGCTAGAATCAATATGCAAACTCGGTGTTAAAGCTAAAGAAAACTACCAAGTGGTCCGGAATGAGACAACTGCCATTAGATATTTTAAATTTTGTAAAACAGGGACTAAATATTGCATTTATGTAATATTTTCTATTCTTTTTATCAGGTGTGTAGTGTTTAGATTTTTTAAAGCATGAAATGTTGTAGAATTATAATGATAGTGTTACTGAAGTATATTTTCTTTGCATGTGTTAACTAGCTGTAAAATGTGCATTTTTTTCATTTAAGCTGCATGCACTTGTGAGAATAATTAAAAACTTCATTAATTTACCTTAGATCTTGGGAATGTGAAAATATGAGAAGTGGAGAAATATTTGATCATTTTCAACTTACAACTGCTACACTGCTTAGACATATAATTTTTCTTGGGCCTTTGTCCAAGGGATCTTTTATGCTGCACCTTACTTTTAATTGAAAATAATTTCAGTTAAAATTCTTTTCTTCTCAAGACTTGGGCTACCCTGGAGCGTGTTTGTGTTTCTCTCCAATCACACTCCTTTCAATTTCTTCTCTATATATTCATTCCTACATTTATACCCCAATTGTTTCTTTGTCCTGTGTGGGTAGTACAATGTTGCCATGCTTGCACAGCTACCCTTCTAAGCCTTCAATATTGCCTTTTCCTATAGTTGGATCCCTCTACTTCTCAATATTTTTCTTCTTCCACTTTTGAATGGATGGTTTAAGCATGACTATTCCTTCATGGGAAATGACACTTTTTCTTTTAAATGGAACCTCTCACCTAATTCATCAGCTCACAACTACTCTTTTTCTCTGGCTGTTGTCATTCCCTGGATGAAATTTAGCAGATGGGGTTGTGGACAATCACAGATACTTGTGTCTCATTATTTGTATCACATTGCAGTTTTGTCAGCCTGTGAGTTTCATCTCCCTCCAGTCACCATATTCCAATCTTTCCAGAGGCTATAAGGAAAACAAACAACAAAATAATAAGAGACACAAGAAACCACCAAATGGCTGGTATTGCCTCACAAACTTCTCTATCCTAAAGTCTGCATCAAGTATTGGATAAAAGACAGTGTTAAGCTCTGCCTTATTCATTGCTCACTGTTGAGATGGGGATTTGTGCAAGATTTCTTTAGTAGTATATATTTATTTCTTGTTTACCTTCCAGGACCTACCATACAAATAGAAAATAAATAAAGAGTGACTAAAAAAAAACAAAAAAGAGGGATCTTATGCATGTGAGATGATTCTTTTTAGTTCATGCACCTCTCCAGTGTTCTACTATATGCAGGTTCCTCCTTCCCAATTTGTTTCAGGGAAATTGGAGAATACATGCATCCTCTGTATCAAGCCTTTAGGTCAATGTAATCCCACCAGTATGAGACTGAGTAAATTAAATACATACTTTGTTTGGAAGTAGGGCAAGAATGTCAACAAGGAAGAGTAGTTCAGGTCATTCCAACACTAAAACTGGACATTCACATGGTTGCGACCAGCCAGATGGATTTCAAGTTCTTGTTGGGATGTTGGTCTTGGAATAATTCATCCCTGAACCTGTATATTCTTGTAAGTATTTCTCTTATACTGTATGGCTTGACATATTGCCCTAGCCACATTTAACTTGTGTGATCTGCTTACTTCACTGAGATATATAGAGCAGTTAAGTAGCCATCATATTTCTCCTGCCTTCATGACACTTTAGCAAAATATAGGAAGTTTTTTGACAGAACCTTTCTAAATAACTACTTGTATTGAGTAAAGGTATTCCCTGCTTGAAGTGGGTGCAGTATCTCACAGAATGCTACTCCCACTAGGTCACACTCACCCTTAATTGGAGACCCATTCATAAGTTTACCCTTTCTTTCACTCTAGTTTTAGAAAGGAACTCATCTTTGACATGTAATTCTTCACACTGTTTAGTCTACCATCAAGTATTGTTGCATCATGTATATCTATTAGTGTGTAGAAAGTTTTAGGCCTCAGTTGGGCTATTTATAAATACATGTACAAAATGTGATAATAAGTTAAGGAAAAGGGTGAGTGAGAAATAGAGATAGATATAGACTGGGTGATCATAGTGGTGACTTTTAAAGTGTAATAATCACAGATCGTATTGAAATAACAGAGTCGAGAAGAATAATTTGTCTTGTTAATTGGGTTCTAAAGTAACTGAACCAGCCTGTGTGGACTTTTGAAGTAAAAGAGAATTATTTAAAGCTCTCAATTCAACTGTGTAACAAACGTTTGTATATATGTTTGACTTGTTTTAATATTTTAGTTTAAAACAAGTGGACTGTGTGCCATTTATATATTGTTGAAATTTATCACCAGCAAATCACAGACACCTACTGTAAAGAATCCTGCCCAACATACATCCACATATACAATAAAAACCTGACTCTTGATAACCCTGAAATAGTACAAGTTTGTTCACAGTTTATAACATATAGTATAAACTTTTTGATAACCAGGTAACTCGGAATTAATACAAATTTGTTCATGGTTTATAATGTATAGAATGAACTTTTTTGTAACCTGATAACCCTGAATTAGTACATATTTCTTCATAATTTATAATGTATAGTATAAACTGTTTATACTATACCCTGAATTAGTAACACTTTTGTTCAACATTTACTTCTAGTGTAGGATGAAAACCTCAGGTTTGCTGCATTAATCTTAATGGCTAAAAAACTTGAAATTTAAGAATATTGTCTGATATAATAAAGATTAGTTTGATCCATCTACCATTATGTGAACACTGTAATTGCAGATGTACAGTTATTTTTGTAAAATCTTGGTACTTTCTTTGTACTAATTGCAACCTTTATAAATTTAAAAAGCACATTTGAGGAAACATACACAGTCAAAAATTATATAAATATCGGTAAATTGCCTCAGAAACTCATTTTTAGGAGAAGTAAAATTCAAATTATAATGAATGTGTGTCAAGTGAAATATGATTAATCAACATACAGTTAATAAATTGTTTGCATGGTCACAAAATAGTTGAAACATTGAAAAAGGAAATATAAAGTATTGGTAAAATTAAAAATGTTCATGAGCTAGACATCAATCTCTACCTCATGATGTCTCAGTTACTTC